TCAGTGTGCTTCCTATGTCGAAGCCCCAGGAAGTCATTACTCTCTATACTCTTCGATAAGTGAATTGGGCAATCCTTTGCTAATCCACTGTTAAGACAGAACATTCTTCCTCTTTTCACTTTTGTCTGTTGTGTATGGATACATGTGTTCCAGTACTGATATGGCAACCACTTTGAAGGTCATTAGCCAACTTTGTGCCTATGTCTGTCTTCCTTTCAAATTCACCTGGCTTTTAAGAACATGCAGTGCAATCCAAGGTTGGCAATTCTCCCTTTGTGTTCCACCGACCCTTCATTATTAATTTCAGGTGCTTCCTTGAGAGGCATCACATTTGTGCAGGAAGCTGGAAAAGGCAGCCTACCATGCTAACCTGAGGTCCCTCAGAGATTTACTCTTTAATTCCTGCCTCAGACTGAACACTCATGAAAAGAAAACTGATGAAGTGTTAGAGCTAGTGGAGACCTTGGAGGCCCAGAGATGAACTAGACAACCGGACAAAGAGAGAAATGAACTCAGCCACACAGCGGGGTTGTGGTTGGGCTGAAATCACAATGTCAGTTTCTTAGTCCATTGTGCATTGAACACTCCAAAGACCATAGTCCAGAGGAACTAGAAGTACTGGTGGGAAGGTGGCCATCAGTTATGTCTGTTTGTCTCTACAGCAATTTTCTTGGCCTCCTATTCCACTTGGTAGCTGCCTTCTTATCTCTAGAATGATCTGAAGCCTGAGGCCTGAATGTAAGGGCTATAAGAAAGATTTTAGGACCTTATCAGACATCAGCTAAGTTATTCTACATAGACCAGCACTCACGACTGTTTAGCCAGCTTTCTCCACTCATCACCCAGAACTGATTGCCTCCTCCTCTCTGACTCTGTGGACTCTGACTCTTGCCTCTGTCAGGGTTCTGTCCTCTACCTTCCTCATGAGCATGTGGTCATGTCTGATCACTCTCTTCTGGCTGAATGGCAGAGTCAGAGGCTGTACAATCTCTGCATATTCTCTCACTGTTTTTCTCAGTCTCATTTGCTTCATCCATTAGGTGCTCAGCAAGTGCTGGCAAGCCTAGTAGACTGAGTTCCCTTTGAGAACCCTGGGAAAGAGAGTAGTTTTTCCAACGATACATGAGCAAACGCAGTCATGACAGGCCTCAGCGTTTGTCCGGACAGATGTTTGTTGGGCATTGCCTGTGTTTGTGTGTCGTGTGGACATTGTTGAACATGTCAGTAGATCAGGAGGTGGAAGCACAGAGGCCGATGAAGAATCTGAGAATGATAGCATATGGGCAAAA